ATCAAGCCATTTCAAAGCAGGGATTTTCAGCCAGAATAACTTGATCCATTCAAGATGGAACTTGACATCAGGTTTTTGACGCGCAAAAAAGTGCCGCATTGACGTTTTTACAATTTTCGAAAGGTTGGAAAGTCCTGTGTGTACAATGAGCAAAGCAGATCAGGAACTCTCATTCTCAAAATTGATTCGTTGATTCTTTGGAAGTCTGCAAAGCGTTCTCGCAAAACATAATGCTGGAGACAAAAATCCGTTCACTCAGCTGGAGTTCTTGGCCTTATGCAAATATTGTTCGTTATCTGAATGTCATATGATTCAAAGCCGAAAGCTCGCTGCGACTTTATGAGCTCTAGCTAAGTAGGCAACTGCCGTAAATAACAACAAGGAAAATCACGAGGATCCCAAGCCCCCAAAAAACGGGAAAAAGAAAACCGTTCTTAGGAAAGAAAGTTCCCTCTATGGCAGCGAGACACGAGGCCAGTGTCAACACGCCCGCAGCTTTCCTTTTTCATGAAGTTCCCGGGAGTACTTTTCTCGGCGCCTCGGGCGTTGAATTCGCGGGGTTTCGCAAGTACAGTACTTGTATGCGAAGGAGAAAAAAAAGAGAGAAACAGTTTAATGCAGCCGAAAGTCGCGTTGGGAAATGAGATGTTGCGCGGGAGGGATAGTGACGATCAAATGAAACTCGCCTCCGACCCGCGCGCTGGTGCTGCTGATTTGCTGCTGGTGCACTGTATGGTATGACATGGCATGGCATGGCAGCAGTGGTGCGCAAGTCTCTTCAGTCTTCCTTGTTCCTCGTTGCGGCGCGGGGGCTGGATGTTTCCGGCGGCCCTGAATCGAGTGCGTGCGCTTTTTCCCCTGCGGCCCTCGAATGTTCCTGATTACAGCCGTCGGCGGTGCGTTTGATTCATCGGGAATCCAGCATCGTGGAACTCCATCGATCGAAGCGCAATGATCAGGACTTGAAGTGCCAGAGAGAGTTTCCCCCTCTCTGTTGAGTGTGCATAATTCGCTCGGCGACGGAAGATTATTTGCACCTGCTGATGAACTCACCATGTCCGACTCGATTCTGAATCGAAGTGTCTTAAATCAGACGAGAACGAAAAAATGGCGAGAGAAAATTCTTCAGAGGAAGTTTCTCAATTGCTGGAAGATTTCTGGCGCTGTCCCGGGACGCTTTTGCCGAACTTTGGTTTGTTCAAAATTGAACAATGCCTCCAGTACATTATCTGCCTCAAATACCTGTGATCTAACCTCAAGGATATACTGCACGTGAAAAGAATGTACTGTACATGTGTGCTTTTAAATTACCGAAAAGGTCTACAAAGCGACAAGTTCAGCGGTACCCCGGATAATACCGTCACACAATGAACCCAGGTTGTCACTTGTTAGTAATTTTTTTTTTCGTAGCAATTTCTGATTTGGATTATAAGCTTCATGAAACATAGCTGTCTTTCGAAATTGTGTCGGAAATAGAATATTTATTCTAAAAGTTCTTTTGATACTCTTGATTAATTCAAGTATTGATCTTTTTTGAGTGCTTTGCTGGTCTTTTATGATTTATTTTGTTCGCTAAATATTTATTTGGTAATTATTTCAAGGGCCTATCGAGTACATTTCCAATGAATGCATAACGATCATCTATTCCATGACAATGGCATATAATCACACTGCCAGCCTTCAATCAAATTACTATACAGTACTGTACTGTACTTAGTTTGGGGACTATTGGGAATCCGGAGCCAATTAGGCTTTTTAAACCCATATTGCTCTACGATACTCGGTTAATATGCTTCCTTTATGATGTACTCAATCCAATGAAATGAATTAAGGCAATTAACCAAGTCATTCGTGCAAATACATTTTCAAATCATCATGATGAGCAGGATTTAAATTATGAATTATCTATACTCAGTGCTAGCAATAAAAATCTAGTTCTTTGTCGTGTCTGGTTCAGACCATTCTGTATCCAGGAAGTAGGTTTTGGCGCAAGGTCGAGTGCTTTTGGTTCTTTGAACGAGGCACTGCACTAATGATAACTAAATTATGTTGGACTCAATTTCCAGGCTTACCTTACCTTTTCCGCCCTCAAACTAAAAGCAAAAGTTTGCTAGCAAATCGAATACAGTACTGTACTGCCCTCTCCTGCATGAGATGCCAGCAAATTTCTTTACTGTATATTGTACTGGATGTTCAAAATAACGCGTTTATTTTTTAAATAAAAAAGCATGCACAATGCCTTTCGATAACAACTAAAGAGGAATGAAGAAGGTGATTTTCTTTCTTTTAAATTGGCTTTCAAAGTACCAGATAGTCTATGAAAATAGAACGTGTTACTCAGGAAATGATCATTAAAGAAATAATTTGCTATACTCTACACAAGATTTTCTTCTCGAATTTCTTTTGGGTATATTCCCTGTTCTAAGTTTAATGTACTGCTGAACAAAACTTGAACATATCCTCAATGTCGGGAGATTAAAAAAAAAATCAATATAAATAATCAGAGGGTTCAAAATTGTTTGTCCTTGCGCACACGACCCATTCACCTGCTACCATTGCGTGCGAATCTTATTGTGATCAAATACTAAACAGTATTTGATAAAGAATTGTAAGAAGTCTTCATTGATTCAAAAAAGCAAGATGATTGGCAAAATTCAAATGAAGGAACGTGAATTTTTGGCACAAATATAAATGGGACATTGTTGGATCTATGCTGGTGAACTGAGCAGATCGAAGAAATTGTTCCTGATAATATGGAAAGCTTTTGTAGGTCTCGACTTGTTTGTTCATTGGGACAATCAGCAAGATCTTTTGGCCAGTTTCGATCCTCCGGATTATTTTGCAATTGAGTTCGTCACATGATCAGTGCTTTCGCTAATTAGATGATCTCGAAATATCTCCCATTTTTTCACATTACCAGGTTCCGACTTCCGAAGGAAAAGACAATCCATGAGTTGATCATTCAACAAAAAGTTCCAAGCTGATTCTATCGTATGAATGATTTGTAATAACCAAGGATTTTAGGAACGCCATCTGGAATCTACAAGGTAACATCTGGGTGTTGAACGTGTTTCAGGAAAATCACCGTTTAGGAAAACCAGTGTCACGAAAAGCACCCATTATGATACCTTAATATCCCGCGAAGAGTAACTCAATGACCCGCTTTATTTACGAAACCTGATTATATTCTCTTTTGGATCTCATAAAGTTCTTTAAAATGTTGTAGATGTAAAATAGGGTCAAAATCTGGGGTTCCATTCATCAAAGGGAGGAAAAGCCTGGTTCGCGGGCTCCGATTAAGTGGGCATTAACCGAGCCTGAATGTTGACTGAAGGAGAGGAAACAAAGTGGCCATTACTTTACTTGATCCGCTTTATTTCCCTGTGATCGACTAATTATACGGCCTGATGCTTTTCGGACTTTGCAGGAATGTCGGTAGAATTATTTCAAATTATTCTTGATTTATTTTTTGCTTGTTAGATAAGTTTTTTTCAGAATCCGATTGCACGCGATACTTGATGATCTGACAAAGTCACCTGCGTAGTATTTAGACTGGATAATGAGTTTCACTGCGCTTAATTGATTTGGGTTAGTTTGTATGGTATTTGGGTGCTTTTTGTGTGGGCGTATCCCATCCAATTGCTTCTTTCCTTTCATCATAAGGAATACGGCTCAAAAGTAAACGTCAGTCGCGCGGGATTCTGTAACTAAACGCGTAGATTTTTATCCCGGAAATCTACGTTTTATGCATTTTTTTTTGTCTGCCCCCTGGGCGTTGAGAAATCCAGGCGCTTCTGAGGAGGAAATCTCGTTCATCACTGGATAATTGAGGGGGTTTCTCCAGATCGCGTCGCATTACTTAGCTCCTGGGCTATGTAGCATGCGAACCCGACGGGACGGCGAACATGTGCATGTCCTTGGTGCGATTGATCTCACGCAAGGAAGCAACACTTCCTAATTGTTTATACTTTCTTGCGTTTCGCTGACGGTGCAGTATCAAACGATACACACGTGGTCTTCTCCGGATTGTGTTTCAAAACTATGCCTTTTTTCTGCCCGGTCGACGCCCTCTTGTAACCTTCCATCGCTCGTCTTCCTCTTGAAAGCACCAGTTATACCAGAATATTAGCTCATCTTCTTTCCTTCCGGAAGAAAGCTGAAAAACACTAGCGATCGAGGTACAATATTCGTAATGTTTAGAGCAGAGGCCACTCTGACTTGGAAAAGCCGACCCATGTTTGAGATCATGTCTCATGTTCGCGATGACTTGGATTTGAAAAATGGAACATTCAATTTCTATCGTGTTATTTAAATAATGGAAAATGGTGCATTTCTTTTTTGGTACAACCTGATGACTGCTATGCAGCTAGGAGAATGCATCTCCCTACGCGAGAAATTTATGAAAGAATCGCCGACAAAATGCAGGTAATGAATGTAAAAGTGTTACCTCAAGCTGCAAACACCATCGTTGCACGAACGTTTTTACCACGATTTTCCACCTTGGTACTATGAACACAATTCGTTTCATGAAATAATTTGTAAGAAATTGAAAAAGCCCCCCGAAACCGTTTTTTTCCATCATCGAAGACTTTTTTTTTAGCATAACCCCCTATAGACGCAATATATTCAATCTGCAATCCAGAGTTTTGAAAGTGGAATCTAATTGAAAACCTCTTTTTGAGGACTTTTTTTTTTTTAGCAGACTTCATGCATTAAAGCCGCACTGCACGCATTCTGAAATGTACACGCAATATGAAAAATTTTCAATCCATTTTTTTGAAAGTGAAATCTTGTTGAAAACCTCTTTTCAAGGACTTTTTCAGCAGACTTTACGTACAGTACTGTAAATTCAGTGACATATACGAGGCAGCATTCCTCTCTGGAAAGCGCGCTATTTTTTCAAGGTCTGTATACCGTACAACAGTTGCTCCCACAAATGCTGCGTGGATTGAATTTTATTTAAAAATCTGCGAATTTGTATTTAAAAAGCGACTCGTCCTTTCTTCCAATATATAGCGTCTACGGGACGTAAAATCCCGCGTCGCCTAGGCATTCTTATCGCGCTGCGGTGGCTTAAGCATTTGGTTGATGTCCGTGCTTCTGGTCGATGGACTTGTTAAATCCAGAAAGGCATAGCCATTTGGCATAAGTTCAAACGCGAGAATCCGCGAGATACTCGTGTTACGGGCTTCTAGGCGCGAGGAATGTCTATCGGGCCGATCGTCGGGCTTTTCTTGTGCTGCTCAGCAGCGTTGATTTCGTTCGGCAGTGAATGGATCACGGCGTCAGTTTACCACGGAGATCGCTCGACTTTATCCACGAACGGGTCGTTGGCTGGAGGAAAACATCGGCGAGTCGAACTCGTCTTCCAACCGCGCTTGTGGCAATCCATAGTCCGATGCTCAACATACACGGTCGGCACGTTGCTGCTGTTTTGTCCCAGGAAATCGCTGATAGTCATCTACGGAACCGCGTCCAGTTTATTCGCGGTCCTGGGTCTCATCGTGAAGCACACTGATCAATGGTTCCCGCTTGGAACCTCTGTGTTCCTCGGGCTAACTTCAGCCATGGGTGCTGTGGCGGTGCTCGGAGTCTTCGCCTTGCTCCCGGTGGAGTTCTCCACGCATTCGTCGACGCATGACTCGTTCCTCGGCTTCACGCTGTTTGCGCTGCAAGCTGGCGCAGACTGGCTCCTCTGGACAGTCGCACATCTCAAGTCGGACGTCCTGTCGTCCGCGTCGCCGACGATCCCGTCGCCGTATGCGCCGGAAATGGCGACGACGAGTGACGTGACTTTCTTGCCGTGCTGTGCTAACGTGCCGGTGGCAGCTGTGGCCGGGTTCTTTTGGATAATGGACTGGAAGCAGCAGTCGGCGGCGTATCGCGACAGCAAGGCCTGGAGAGCAGACGCGGGTTGCGCCCGTGCTGCGTGTCATCGCAGGAACCTGCCGCTGTTGTGCGTGGTAGCCACGATGTTCGCGTGCTCCTTGTTGCGCCACGCCGGGTTCTCGGCGCTGTTGGCGAACATCGAGGAAGACCTAGCGACGAAATCCACCGGGAGGGATTACAGGCTGGCATTTTGCCTCAGTTTCCTGCCGGACTTGCTGGGTACGCTCCTGGCTGTCGGGTTGCACGCGGGGAAGTCTCCGTTGGCGAGATACGTGGCGCCCTTCGGCGCCTTTTTCTTCTCCCTCGCTGTCGCTGGGCTTTTCCTGTTCATGAAGTTCCACCGCGGCACCGATTTTTGGTTCTTCGTCGTCATGGACATGTGGATCAGGTTCTTTCACCAGGTGAGCTTTCTTAAATTTATTTTTCTGAATTACCCGACTTGAGGATGTCTTAGTCTAGAACTCAAATGAAAGCTACCTTCTGTCCATCGCACAGCTGGATTTATCTGCGATGTAATCTCTTTAGTATGAAAATCAGAACGTCCAATGACTGCTTATTGAGTTTTACGTTGCTTCAGGCCCGTGACATTCTTCGCACGTGCTTCAAAATACAGTACATGTAACACGATTCTCCGACAATTATTCCGAGTAGGTACTGAAACCAGAATTAACGCCGACGTTCGATGTTGATCCAGGTGATGTCGCTTATCCGAGATAATGACAAGGTAACCCCTCTGATAATTCAATATCGCAGCGAATTGGAACTGCAAAATGGTTTCAGAGAGGAAATTAATATTATACAGTATTCTGACGTGATACGACATTACCAACATTTCCTTAAAAATCGAGCATAAAAACATTGTCCAGAGAGATAGTCTTCAACTTCTCTTCAATAATGGCCGTGATGTGACTTCTAAGATATTATGCATGCATTATTTTTTTCTTTTTCTGGCATGTTGTTACTTTTCTGATCGTCATTATATTAATCATAGCAGATGAAAATGCCGTCAACAAAATTACTCGATCTGAAAGATCTAAAAAGGCTCTTGTTGAAATTGTATTGACCGTTTCGCTTCCTCTGATCGGCATGCAATGTGCTGCAAACTTGAGGCGATTCAAAATTCGAATGAATTGCCTTCGAGAAGAATAATTCTTCGATTTTGAAGACCAAGGAAGCATAATATTTTCTGCAGTAAAAATTAGATTAATGATTTGCTTACTCGGTCCGAAAAAAAATGTGCGATGCATCTAAATATGTGCAGTTTTGAGTAAAAATTAGCTCAACAGAAAAAAGGAAATGTTTTCTGATTGCAGTTGTACCGTTCACATCCCGCAATGAACTTTTTTATTTCGCCTGAATGCGTCCTGGAATAGATAAGATACTTTGAGAACTAAGAGGCAGCTGCGACAGTCAAACTATGAACATTTTTTTTTAAATGAAGAAATCAGTTTTCTTTGGCAGGGCATCGACTTGGCGCGGATTTGTTCGCGGAAATTCCGAGGGCTCCAGTCGAACGTTGAATTCACTGAGAGTTTCATTGCTCCAGTTAAGCTTTCTGTCTGGCCTACAAAAAAATGATGAGCCTTTTTTTCGTGCAGTGTATTTTTGCATTCAACTCGACCTGCAGTAGGCGATTAGGTATGCGTTTATGTAAAAAATATGTTCTCTGAAATTTCACGAATATGAGCTAGTCCTATCACCTTGAAAATTTGCATCCGTGAAAACGTAACACATTTCCCCATGAACGCAATCCTGTCATTAAAAGTTAAAATTTTCAAAACTCGAAGAACTTTCAAAACTAATGTTCACCTACTCATCGTATACTGCACTACAGTACCGAAATCAGTTGTTCGGGAAACTTTTTTGCAATAATGTACTGTACTATAATAACAATGCTAGGCTTTACAGCTATTCGATTAACAATTCCAGCGGGTCAACCTGGTTTATTCAATTTTTTTTTAATTTCTTGATTGTCAGTTTACTTCTTTTCTTTACTCTGATTTTATTTAAATCGGTAATACAGAAAAAAAAATCTCAGGAATTCCGGTTCCTTTCGCATTGGTGTGGACTCACGTTTCTAATCAAAGGAAACAAACAACCGCTAATAGGAAACACCCGGGCGAAGTCGTGTTTGAAAGCAAGGGGTGCACGCGGGTCAACTCATGAATAGAGCTTTAGGTGTGGCTCGCATTGCTCCGAGACCTTAACTCTAGTTATCCCGCCTTGGTTCCTCGACGTCTCACTAAAATCATCTCCGGTTCTTGACCTTCTGATTGTCTCATGCATTCCCCGCATATCTTTCCCCCGGGATGATGTCCCGAAGTTCCATTCAATCTGCCCTTCGATGACGCGAAAAGAAAAATTATTTTTTCCTCCGGAAAACCTGCTGCCTTTAATTACTTTCGTTTGGACCCGACGTAAATCTTGGCTGTTGGTTGAAGGCCCCTCTCCCAAATTTTACGACATTTATAAAAAAAAGAAATTCAACAATATTTTCAAGTAAGGGCACTTGAAGATTTCCCGACGCCGTTACGCAAATAAGCGCATTGCGTAACAAGCAACCATCCATGTTTTCTTCCAAGTACGGCTCTCACGAGGCCTCGTTGCTTTTTCAACCAATCTAGTTCGAGTAAAATAGGTTCGCAACGAAGCTGCTGTTTTAGTGAAGTTCGATGACCTCATGATCTCCCATCTCAAGGTTTTTTGTGCGAAAATTCGCTTTTGGCAGCGATTCGAGACATTTTGAGTGATTTAGCTCGAACCATGTTGTACGCATTCGTATAGCGCATCGCTTGTTTCTGCAAGGCTCTCATGCAAAAACATTTCATTGCGTGAATCGCGTTGAGTATAACAAAGCGATAATTGCCTGAAGTTCAGTAACCCGCGATCTCGGCACCCCTAGCATACCTCCGGGTCCTAGAACAGAAGCAAAAGTAACCTTTCCTTTATAATTCACGAACACGGGGCGTCTCCGTATCACCAGCATTTATAATTGAAACGAAGCTGCGGTCTTTCAAAATTCTTCTTCCAAGCACTTGATCATCCGGAGGAATTTTGCGGGGAAATTTGTTCGGTAGATGCATCGCAGCAGAAAGCGGCCCTTTAAACAAAGTCTGAAAGTAGTACTTTCGCCACACAAGTAGGGCATTAACCTTTTCAGCCAGCATACTGGTGGAATGGCATCCACCCGATTTTTTTTTCTGGCATCTACTTGATCCATTTAATTCTTTTTTTTGCAAAGAAAGCCATTTTCAGCAACTTCAAAAACTTACTAATCATACTAACGTACTCGTGTCTGCCGACGGTTTATTAAAAAGGCAAAGGGCGCTATTTCACGTGCTGTAGTTTGCACATTCCTGACTAAAGAGAGAGAATTTCTCGACCACTGTAAAGAGTGGATGGAAATGAATTCAAGCGCTTAGTTTATCACTTTTATATGTAAAATAATCTGAAATTCGACAAGTAGTGGTTCTGATCTGAATGTTCGATTTGCTTGTGTCCTCTTGCCAATAAGTCGATGTGCCTCAGCCCTGGTTCTAAACATGTGCTCCGCGGAGCACATGTTTAGATACATGAGATACAAATTTACAGATAGGGAGTTTTGGTACTGTAGCTCGTATAAGGCATTCGCAAAGATGAATACAGTATAGTATTTCTGTATCTCGAGGTGACGACTTTTATCGTCAAGCTGTAAATTGTGAGGCATTAAGTAGATCTGATGAACTCCACCGTTGAAGTTAATTTCGGAAAAGGCTCCGCGAGTCAAACAAAGGTCGAGGAACTCTTCCATAATCTCTCACTAACTCCTAGAGTCAAATTTGAAGAAACAACATGATGATGTCGACGCTCGGGGCTTGTGTAGTTCAAGGGAAGGCATATTGCTGCAGAGGAACGTTTATAAACATCCCGAAAAACGAGTGTTCCTGCCACGGGTTCGAACGGGGGCGGATTCTAGCGCTCCCGAAGCGAGCAGGAAGGCGACTTCCGCCGTTTTCGTACGCTTCCGACCCTCGTAAAACACAGATATTATCACCATCACCTGCGGCACAGTCTCTAATGGTTCAACATGAAATCGAGTCTGCATGTGAAACAGGCGAGATTTTTTTCGCGTTTGAAAACGAAGTCCAGGAACTTGTCCGCAAAATTAATCTCATTGAATCGGACTTCTCTGCTGGTGGCCATGATTTTTTTTCTCGTCCGCCATCACCGATGCTCATTTGCTTTAAATTTAAATTAAATTACTCGTATTTAATTTGCAAAACTGCTTCAAAATGCCTACCATTTCTGACAGAATTCCACGATTTTCTCCTTGCATCGTTGTGCTGCGCTCAGTTTTCCTGAAAAACTTCAAGGAAAAGCTGAGCCATGGTTTTCCAAGAGTTCGAACTTCGAAGATCAGGAAATCGTCTATCATTTCTGGGCCAAAGTATCCTCCATTTGTTGGATAACGACGTTGAAGTCAACCGCCCTAATTGGAAAGTGGAATGGGGTTTCCCTCGTTCCACGCTCCCAAAAACGAGGCTCGTAAAATTTTATCGAATGGGGTTTTCCTTTTGTTTTCCGAGTAAAATCTTCAGAATGAACAGCTGTTGATGTCCCAGAAACAAAAACAAATCGTTTGTTAGATGTCGATTTCCTAAAATCTGAAACCGATTCTGGAAACATGTTTGTTCGCCACTTCGCCTTCATCGTAATACAGTACTCCTCCCTCATCACACTCGAACCAATCCTGCGTTAAAAATCAAAATTTAGTAAATTAAGAACAATCGGAAAAAGACTAAAAAATTATTACAAGTTTATCAACTCCCTCCGATTAGAAAAGAAAATGCTGTAGTGATAACCAGTGTGGGCAATGAAAGTATTCCGACTGCGCTTCGTTTTTCCCCGTAACTTGAGGGTATCGTAAATTAAAAATGAAAGATGCTGGAGCTGAGCTGAGCTGCATTTTGAACCTGTGAGATAAAGTGTGTGAAAGAATATGTCGCTAGAATGTTTCTCTCGTAATACTTGAATTGCCTTTCACGTAATGTAATTGTATTCTTTGGGCTGTCGTTGGATACGCTCTGTGAAGTCACACACAAGACAGACCGTTTTCTGTACAGTATAAGAATCGCAGTAATTTTCCCGTCCTTGACAAAAATCCATTCAGGACACGCATAAATACGTGGAAATTTTTTTATCCGGAAATTTTCATCGTTTCTAATTTTTTGAAGACCAATCAGTCAAAATCACGATTCAGCATGGTTTTTTTCGGTTTCTGAACGTACCTGAGCTAATGTGCTTGCTTGGGAACCATTCTGGCCATTTTTTGTGACAGGGATTTATCAACCTCTTACAAGACAACTAAGAATTCAAACTGCGGAGAGCCTGCTCTGGCTGAAAGATAAGTTACAACTACGGTATTGTACTGTAGATCTGTAACTTAAATGAAAGAGCAGTTTACAACAATCATTGCTCTCCAATTAACCTTCAAATGCGTATTCGTTTTAAAATTAAATCATGCACTCGATTCTGTATATTCCTGAGCTTGTTGATTATCTTATCGGTGAATCGATGTACGTATATTCAACAATTAACACCCATGCATTTTCATGGCAATTCTGCGGTTGTGTGAAGCGTACAACTGGTTGATGGCTAATGTGATGGACGAACTGCAACCTACATGCAACAGTTTCCGATCCCTTCAACGCGTTCATCTTGCGTGAAATCCTCTTGCTTTTATCCGAAAGACCTTGTTTGGATTTCTTCATATAGATGTTCATAGCATCTGGGTTCCTGTCCGTTCGTCGGCTGCGGTTCCGACAATCGCTGGGTGCCCAATTCGTGGCTCTCTCAGGGCTGCTGACCGTGATGGAACTCGGGCGGTTGACTTCGGAGATCATTCGAGTTTGGATCCCGGATTCCCTGGAGGAGACTGAGTATCGCCTCATCATGGGTGCGGCTGTGGCTTGCATGCTGTCGTTGACGTTGCTCAGCTTTGGCAAAAACTACGGAGACTATTTCCGGCTCCGCGGAGCCCACGTGAACGCCACGGACGACATAGTGTTCTTCCACAGTGGCAACCGGAGCGCCCCGCTAGCAATGACGACTCCCAAGTCCTTCGTTTTCGAGTCGCAGAACTCTATCAACGACGCAGTCCCAGACTCCATTTGGGGAACCGAGGTACACTTGGGTTGAAAGATTGACACTTTGAGCACTTTTTTAGTCGAAACAATTTGCTGGCCAGACGAGAAATGCGCCATGCTCCGAAAGCTAGTTTGTTTTTCTCTGTGCCGTGATTGCATTCGTGAATTTTTGCTTCTATACGACCTTGATTGTGAAATAATCCACATAGCCAAGATTTTTCTATGAAACAAACAATCCGAGTCGTGAAAGAATGACTGATTGAAAATTCTCTCCGTGGATCTTTGTCGCGCGGGCTGTAAGATTAAGCTGCAAAATCGCCGGAAATTAATCTTTCATTCCCCGGTGACTCTTTATTTTACTACGTGTATTGGTAGATGAAAACCCCTCCCGAAGTGATGAAATCACATCTGAATGAGGTTCTTCCGAATGGATCAATTGACTGCAACCTCGCGATTTTCCAACCGCTTAAATCGGACGAAAATGCAGCTTTTTTCTGTGCCTTAAGCGGAGTACAGAACCGTACAGTATTTTGTGAGAAATGCCTTCAGAGTACTGGCTCATGTAGTTCTTAAACCATCGCGTAACTACTATTTTACATGAAATCATATGCAGTATATTGATGCATAAAGCGGCATTTTGCTCGGTTGTTTCACCGGGAGCTGTGAGGAAATATGTGTATTGTACAAGTATCTGCATATATGGCCGATCCTGGAGGTGAACTATCGGAGTATGATGATGAGCAACTTTTGAAAGTATTCTCTACATTTAAAAAATGAGGGTACTTCAGGGAAAAGTGCCTTGAAACAAAAGCTGTTGAAATCGGCTTCAAAATTTGAGCAAAGGCGATTTTGCTTGCATTCCGAAAGGGCGAACTGGCGGGAGGCATGTTCCGCAGTGTCTCCAGCATAAGAGGGGAACTTATGGAATGCGTGCTTGGTTATGGCTTGAATTGTTTTTTTTTCTGTCGAGCCGCATCGAACGGTGTTATGATAGCTTTCAGCACGAAAAAGGGGTTGTGTCGCTTGATTTCTTTTTGTGCGTTTTTTTGAATTTTATGCTCGAGCGTGTGGGGGGCGTGTTCCGTGTGAATAAGAGGTACTACAGCACGTGTTCCATTTTCAGGTTCTTCCAGCGCAAAGTTTCTATGACCAATCTATGAAAAATATCTTTCTTTTATCCCGATGATCAACTACTGCAGTGGTAATAATCTCGAGCCTGATAGGAGATTTCGTGAAAAATAAATCACTCTGTTTTGGTTAAGCGCTCCTTTCCCCTCGGGTTCACATCTCAGGGAGGAGCCAAATTTATGCATTTATTCTGCTGTTTTCGATGAGAGAAAAAATGTAATGGCGTCCTCGCGGGTGAAAGAACAAAGGAAGTGTGGAAGACTGCGCGGAAAGTTCTCTAAAAAGTGGACCTGTTCACCGGCTTGTTTTGCGAAAGAGGCGAGCAATGCCTCTTCGTCGTGCGCCCTTTTTTTGCTCTACTCTGAGTCGCAGGAGTGAATAATAATTTGTGCTTGCCTGGTCTCGAGATAGAGCTTGCAAAACAGCATCTCCTGCGTTTGCTATTCTCGGGGAGTTTTTTGATTTTTGTTTTCTCTTTAGTCGCCTGGGACGTTTTTACATCGAGCATTATAAGTTCCTTGCTCCTTACTCGTGTTGCTCTTTTTTTCGTTTTCGTTATGAATCGCATTCCGCATATTTGTGTTCAGCTAGCTCTTCATCAGCCGTCTCGACGACAGTCGGACCCTGGGTTAATTTGCTGGTGAGCCCGACATTTGACATCAAGATGAAACGCGTTTCTCGTCAGGCAGCAATTATTACCTCTCAGCGACGATTCCGACTCTTGTATTTCTGTTTCGCGAAATGTGAGTCATACGATGAAGCATGCTGATGAAATGAAGACATTTTTTTCGTGAAAGTTTTCCTTTTTAATTCTGGTGCACTTTAGAGGATGTCCGTGTCACCCAGTTGTCCCTCGACACGGTCATCAGACAATGCAGGTGGACTCTCCGTTGAACAATCTTGTCCAGGACAATTTTCTCTGTTGAACGAATTTGTTCGTGGTGCCATAGGGTTCTATCTCCATGTAAGGTTGCCTACAACGAAATCTCTTCAACGCATTTTTTCTTGATCCTTGAATTTCGTTGCAAACACAGTCCGAAGCCAACGGAGTTCAGCGCAGAATCAGAATTCGACTCAGGACGGTGAACAATGCATAATCAAATGCTTCAACATATAACCAGTCTTGAAAAAGGTGCCGTTTCCGTGCGTCGAATGAAAAAATCAGATGGTTTTCTTTTCCCCTCGAAAACTGCAGTACAAAAACTGCAGACCTCAAATTCAGCGCTGGGAAGCGCGCAAGGAACGGTTCAACGACTTCGGGCTTACACACGATATTCTTCTAAACAAGCCTCAGAAGGTAGTGAATCATTGGTTTAAGTTTCTACTTCTGAATCAGCGCATTTTCATTGTGAGAAATACAGCACTCACGTGCGTCTTACAGCCGGAACAGGGGAAGAAAAGGATTTTTACACTGAAGGAGAGTGACATCTATAAACTACTAGCTTATCTTTGAAGGCAAGTTTCCCATGCCTGGGTAAGAGAACAATACCCTGCAGTGCGTGTAAAAACTGAAGAGCGTTCTCGGAGCTCAACAAATGAGAGGTTCATATTTTTTGCACAATTTATACGGAAGACGAGTCAGAGAAGGAAAAAAAAGACATGGAATTAATTCCGGTAAGGATATAATGTCCGTGACCGTGAGATACTATTTTAGAAGCAAAAATTTGGTAGTCGCTCTTAATCATTTAGTATCCAGCCATGAAATATTTATACCTCATGTAAATGAGCAGTGAGCACCCCCTAATGTGTTGACACTTGAGAGATAAAAGCAATCCTGAGAGAAATTAATACTAGCAGGTTCTCTGGTCTCCTGTTCTATCTTCAAAATATATTTGTCTATCCTTCATTTTTGTTGTTGTAATATACAGTCCATCACCCTCTATGGCTCTATGCAATTTTCTCCTAGGCTGTTTCCTAAGCGCGAAATTTAAACCAATTCATGCAGTTTTCATCACCGGCATTTCTCTCCTGGCATTGAAACTGCAACGTCAGTTTCTCCACGCTGGCACAATCTTCTGGGTTCACTGTGGAATGTAGATTGCATGTCAAAATAGGTTCTACAACGAATGCGCAAGTTTGAAAAATAGATCCGTCAAATCATTCAAATCGATGTTACATATTTCGATCATATGTGGCGGTGTGCCCGTAGCATTTGTGGTAGCTGTGAAATTTTCCAGATTTAAGGAATTCGAGAGAAAAAAAAAAAGCTCCACTGGACGTCAAACCGGAGAGTATCGAGTATAGCGAGTATTTACCATGCGCAGGTGAGTGCCGACATGGTGACTGGGAGAAACGGAGATCCTTCGGGAAAATATGACTAAAATTGACATACAATCCTCTATAGAGCAGTGCAGTATGTCGCCCTGAAAATTGAGACATCCGATCCTCTGCTCGACTGGGACTACGGTATGATTAATGGGCTTCCGTTATACGTTTCACGCGTCATTTCCCCTGATTTCGGTTCCCCGCGTAAGTATCATCACTTTTTTTTTTTAAACTGGAAGTGAGTACCGGTATGTTGGTTATGCTAAACATTACAAACATATCATTTTCGTATCAAAAGTCTGAAATTGTGACATGAGTTCAGCCTGTTCACTGCACCACATATGTGGTACGAAGACCGTGCGACACTTACGATAACGATTCCTGAACGAAAGACGCCCAGTTGCACGGATCCCTCGCACCCATAGTTCCTGTCGTTGTCACTAAAATTGATCGAGAACACGACTTTTATTCCAAAAAGACGAGAGAAAAAATATCTTGAACATTTTAGACAGCAATTTTAGATACCCCTTCGAGTGAGGATTCAACTGTTGCACATAACTGTGATTCAAAAATTAAAATTTCTCACGTCAACACCAGGAGTCGAAAACTGATACTCTCCTAAAATTACCAAATGTAATTGAACACATTTTCAGCAATTTACAAATATGTACGGTCCCAAATAACTACTGGACAAGAAGATTAAAAGTGCGTGAAAACCTAGCAACGAGATTAGTCATGCTCGTATATTCGGTATCATGCATACAGCATACACTCACGCAAAAATACACGAATCATCTGGGCTTCAATTATCGATGCACTCAGGAACCGGTGAACGAATTTTGATTGATTGAAAGGAGAAAAAGGAAACCGCACATTTTGAAATTTCAAAGTAGGTCCGGTCAATTCTCCCCGATTGACTAATTATTCTGACCAATTCATTCAACGACTTGCAAAAAAATCCCATTCGGTTATTGTGTAACAATATTGTATTTGTTTCATCATGTTTGTACAATTTTATTTCCTCCGTGATATTTGATTATCTTGGTAAAGACATCTGTTTATCGAAGGTTTGATGCTGTAGATTTTTTAGAGGACAAATCGAATCCAATTTGATCCTGTCAAAATCCAGAGATGGATTGTTGAAGTCGGTGTTCTATTCAGCTTGAGATGCCGAATGTCTGTTGAAGACTGCAAGTATGGTTTAGTGAGCACATTGTATGATCGGAATGGTCCTACGTGTGTACAAAGAAACGAGCTCATCCGAGTCATCTCTGTCACACGATTCTGTCAGTGCGATCGATGGGTAAACGGGCTTTCCGGAGCTGCGAGGCTGCAACATGCATGACTGCATTTCCGATTCATTCAGCTCCTGGAATTGATGCACGCAAAAGTTCCAGAATGTGCTCCCGAACTTTTCCTCGACGATACGAAGCGATTACTGCACTGTTCAATCGACGAACGCTAAAAGCGACTGATCTTTTCTCGGAAATATATTCCTCGATTTCTTTTTTCCAGCCAGCAGCAGTCGCTTGTGAACAACTGTATCTCACAGGGAAATTCCAGCGTTCTCCATTTACGCTCCTGCTGATTTTTTTTATTTTTATTTTATTTTTTTCGCGGGCATCATTGAAGGAATGAGGCTGGAAACTCTAAAATATGACCCGTGCAACGAATCAGGTCCCATACAGCGAAACATGCTTTTTTGGAAGATGCTTCGATGTCCGTCAAGTTAGCAGTCGTTTATGAAACAATTTTCATCACAGGAAAATATCAATGCTGGTAATTCGCGCTGACGCGAATTGCACTTTAATTTACACTTGTTTTTTTTTTTTGCAGTTTACTGGGAACTTCTGCGTGGTCAGCATCATCGCAGGAATTTAGCTTAAGCGCTAGCGTACAACGTATGAGCGGTATGACTCATAAAAAATCAAGTCCCATGAAAATTATCACTTCCCTTGCAAAGAAAAAAAATTCTGGAAGCAGGCCGAAAATTTTTTTTCAAGCATTTAGTTGTCTGCGATTATCGTGAACAACTTTTTTTCGCGGGGAAACTACAGTGTTCAGCATTTGCGCTGCCCATGATCGTTTTGCAGTTTACTTCGGGGCTTTTCCGCGGGCATCATTGGGAAGATGTTGCTGAAAACAGTGCTGATAATCAGTTTGAACCATCATGAATCACTATGAATGACCAGTTCACTCGTGTTTCATTTATTTTCAAAGATGGACTCTCTCTAACACAAAATTCAAGGGACCAGAAAATTTTCGGTGTAGACGACCTCCATAATTCGGGGAGAAAACGCTGCACGAAAAAAAATCCTTCAGAGAAAATCGTTGCTGAGAGAGTCCACCTAAATAAGTTCATTTTTCGATTGGAACCCGTCGCATTTTGTCCATTCCGTATCTACACGCGCTCCATGAAAAATAACGACTTTTATGAATGAGGCAGGTTCGCTGTGTGAGACAATATGCACTGCGCCGCTTACAGTTGGCAGTCGCGGCGTGGAAATCGATTCTCGGTGCGAGCTAAACAAACAAAACAAAACTCAAATCGCGTCAATGTAATGAACGCGGCTTCTCGCCCTAAACACCGCATCGCTATGAAAACTGTACGAGCCTCGACGTTCGTCGCCCGGGTCGCGGCGCCCAGGGATAAGAAAAGCGCCGCGCCGGTCTCCACACAGCGAGTGCCGTTGCCACGCACTCGCGGCTCCCGGAGTACCACAGCTCTTCCGCCCAGAAAAATCAACGTGACCATATTCGTCGTGATCAGTTCCTGCGCGTCGGTCGGCCGAGACGTACCGAATTCACGAAATTATAGGCCACACGTGCCTCCCCCCTCCTCCCTACCCTACAAATGTCATCAACAACTTGGGGTGGTCTTTATTCAGGAATGCAGTGGATCCCGAGTTCCCTGAAAATCAAAACCCACAGCGGGTCCCCGCTTTACGGAAGACCCGTACAACGAAATTTTGTCGATGCAAAAAGTGACGCACGCAACAAAATCGTTTCATATGGCAAAAAATGTTTGCTCGAAAAGCGGCTCAAATTTTAAGAAACTTACGATATTTTCCGAAAATTTGGGAGGAAAGAGACGAAATGTTTAGTTGACCTTTTTGTCTTAAAAATTTGTGAAATTCAGGACGCTCAGAACGAAAAACCATCAGGATTTCTTGAACTTTCTATTACTGAAAAACATTTAAAATTCACAACTTCATGTTAAAAATATGAAAAATACACTGTTTTGCGATTGATTATGACCTTTAATTGAGTGTCTGGAAAAAACTAAATGATTTAAAATGCTGTACAATTGCATGCAATATGCATTACAAGAATTCCGCTTAATAAAATGCGCCCAGGAACTATGAGTCGTTTATTATAGAGCCCAACAGGTTGCAGTTTGCTATCCGAATCATCATTTACCCTAAAATATATTCTTGAAAATTGTAATCCATCACGTTATACAATGTACAGTACAGTATATGCAAGAAAATTTCGATTTTTCAACTTTCTCAAAACTGAAAAGTTTTGTGGCTAGAACATACAAATTTCTTTTTATTCTCGGTTTGAAAACAAATCCTAACATATATTTCAAACGTGAGTTGCTGAAATTCATGCATTTTTTAGATGGAAAATCTGGGCCTGTAAAGCAATTTCACAATGTGAGCCACTTTTTCCTCGCCGAGAAATCTTCTTCGGACCTATCATTGCATGGATCGTTCGTTAATCAGAGATCCATTATTGTATCCCATATATTATGGGTTGGGCAGCAATTTCAACTGTGCAGCATATGCAGTGTTTGAAAGTTGCTTTATTCACTCATGCACCACGCTCACTATTTTATTCAAAAAAATTAAATGGAAAATCAAGGTACACGTCATACTTCAGTTTTATTACATAGAATGCGTTTTTCCACAGATTTGGGTTGAAAAGTTAGGTGCTTGTCTTACGCAAGAACCATGCTGCACACATGTATTGCATTCTGGACTGCGTCTTGAACGGCGAAAGTGAAAAAATAAGGTATGCCAGAAATCTAAATTGATGATCCTCAATTAATGACTGAAGGTTGAAAATGAATGCTGTTAATGCGTCAAACGATTTTAATTCCTCTTTCTTCGCCGTGCAGAAAATTCGCCCCACCAAAAACAGCAGGAGGACAAAACGGATAAAGTTGTTGGTTTCGCAACCCAAATGCCACACTCCCATGGCAAACAGCACAAACCTCTCGCAGGATCCGTGTCTTTCGAGACCTTTTCACGTTTGCGACGTTCCTTAGATGTCAATCACCATGTGAAAAGCGGCCTGATATCCAAGAAACGGATCGACTACGCCTTGAAATTGTGAGTGATTTTCCTAAAATTTATAAAATTAAATTATGTGGAACCGTATATCCCTTGCGCGCAGTTCATTTGAAATTTGTGCGGCTGTCAATCAGGGTTCGGGTTCTCGAACTAGTGAAAAATTCATATTTTGATCCTCGTGAGGTACGAGATTTTCAATCCGAATCAGGGTGTTGAAAAAATCAACACAATTTCAAAGAAGCAAGAAAACGTCTGTCTAGGGAATATCGTGCACAGTGCTGACCCCGAGAGAACGCAGAAGTATTACCATTGAAATTCTATTCGACAAATGAATGCCATTTTCGTATAATTCCAGACAAAGGATGGTCTTTGTGTTATATGTGAGCGCATTGTACGACGACAAAGCATTTACCATGCGTGGTTGACAAGAACTACGTACAGTAATGCGTTTTTCAATAGGTTGTGACCTGTGGGTTACGGTTACTTGGCAACTGAGACTCGGGGGAGGTTCGGGCAATAATGGTTGCGGTCAACGACTGGTGCATTTTTTGACAAAGAATAGTGGGACATTTTGCGGCAGAAATTCCTGGAACCAGGAGTCCCATCACACCCCAAAATGCAATGTTGGATCACGACGCATTGGTGATTCATATTAGATGACTTAGAAAGCAACATGCCAAACAATTTCCCGCGTTGCGATCGATATGATTCAGGCGCTAGTTGACCTATGCATTCTAAGTTTGTCTTGTGACGCGACTACATGTGAACAAATTCGAGCGAGGTTAAAGCGAAAGCGAATGTTCTCGGAGTTTATTTTCTGACGCGAACTTTCTTCCTGAAATATTTACACGCCTGAACAGTTCAACCACGAAAAAAAAAAATACAAGGGAGAGAAATTACTGCGTCAGCCCGTTAAATGCTCGTAAATTCACTCAGCGCGTTGGCATTTCATCTCTTTAAGTGCGCTGACGGTGAAACTAGTGCTTGTGGGCTGGGCAGCAACATGCTGACGTTTTGACGGGTAATGACCCCATTGGAACGAAAATGCGAAGAGTATTCTCTCTGACGACAGTCACACACCTGGAACCACTCTCCCGAATTTTTCGCGAGCTGAAAGCTCGCTTTTACGAATTTTCTCGCACGAAAAGCTTTCAGTTCCTACGCAGCGTACCGGAAAAAATGCAGTAAAAATCAACGCGATTCTCTACTTCGGTTGACACTTTATTCAACTAAACTTCCCCGTCGGCGGATTCGATCAGCTATGATCGAAGCAAAGCTATATAAAACTTAACGTATTCCTCTGGAGGTGAAAAAAACCGAGCTTGTAAATGTATGTGCCCAAAAATGGACAATGATGCTAATCATCGTCTCATTTTCAGCCGGAAATAATGAGAAACTTCAAGAATCACTGCTGCAATATGCGCTAAACTCATTTGGGATGGGAATAATTGTTTCCTAGAATCGCTATCGTTAGGATGGTGAAATCAGTATCCGAAGAATCCGTGCCAGTTATGAAGGCTTTAGAAAAACAGAACTTTGAAAATCCAAAAGTGGATCACTGGTAATCTCAAGGAAATCCGTGGATTGGCTGGACTAGACGAGAGATGGAAGTATTTTTAGTGGTACGGACTGCATTCAGAGTTTTGACTGAAAGTGGCACTATGACTTATCCAGAGACCAGTTTTTTTCTTCGTCTTGGAAACATGCTACTAAAACGTAGTTCTTTAATTCGGAGTTGGGCGATCACATTTTTCACATGGTTTTAGGGATGAAAGGAGACCTACAAATGATCCGCCTTTGTGAATGACCGCTACTTCTAAAAAAAATCTTCAAGTCGTAAATCCAACTTCGAGGCCACAATTCTGAAACAGAAAAAGGAAGGTTATTTTACGTGTCAGAATCTGCAAACTTTGATGGAATTTCCATTCAGCAAGATGATTGAAAATGAAATAAAAAAGGCTTCTCGAAGAACGTGTCGTCAATATTTTTCTCTAAGGCTCAGTGTACGAAATTGACATCTAGATTCAAGATTGACTTTTAGTTTGAACAATGTTCACTTTGTCAATGTAAATAAAAACGTTGAAATACACGTATCTATCCCCCCCCCCCCCCCCCCCCACACTAAAAAAGAACGTCCGACTGAACATCTCACGACGACCTCAATATTTATTAGCAACCTGAATAATCGGATGTGCATAGACACAAATCACAGGGAGAATGATTTAAAGATTCTAGGGAGGGGAAGTCTTCGCATTGGGGGTTTCTAGAGGGAAACTGGAATGGAGAAGATCTCCACCATCAAGCTCGCAATCTCGCCATTTCCTGCTAGCAGTGATTACATGGACGAAGAGAGTCATGTGAAGATGCCCGCCATTTCCAGTTGACCTCATGTGGTAAATGAATCAGCCGAATGTGCTTTCATTACGTGTTGATGAGGAAACGGCTGAAGGGGCTTTTTGTTTTCTACACAAAATTGGGTCTTCCTCTGGGATAAAAGATGTACGCGGAATAGTCAATGGATCCGAGAAGAGGTACAGAACTTCTGAATTCCGCGCAGGAACGCAGTTTCAACTTTCAACAAGTAAACCGTGACTTCAGGGCTTTCCACTGATGCTTCGAGCAACAAATCATGCTTGTTCTGAAAAAGGGGGTTCGTTGTTTTGGACATTGTTTTTCACAAGGATGCTACCATGTCCGAGAACACAATTATTGACTTTCTGGCAAATGAAATTTATATACAGTACAAAGCTGTCATAAGGTTTTCGGCTCGGGCAGCAGGCAAATAATTCTATGTAGAATATTGATCTGAAATGCTCGTCCAGCGGAAATGTCCGATCGTAAACACGGATTGGGGCTGACGTCTAAATTTGTAAGGTTACGAAGGTATGAAACATTTCTCTCAATTCCTAAAAACCAGGAAAAAATCGCGTGCTTTTTTTCTTTACTTAGATGCATTTTTAATTACTATGGGGTGCATCTAAGGTATCACTGCGTATGAGCTGAATATTTGAACGCTAAATGGAAAAACTTCCTTAATTCGAGATTTCCTTTCTAAGTACTGCCTTGTTGCGAAACATGTTTGCCGCTTCAGACATATGCTACATGACTAACATGAGGTACCACTTTACTGCATAGAAATATTTGCATACCCCTTGTGTGGTATGCAGTGCTAAGTCAAAAAACTAGTTTCACGTTGAAGTACGTACCCGAAAGTTTGGGCATCACTGATAAAATTAGTTCATTTGACATTTGGCGTAAGTCAGGCAACATCAGGGCTCTATAGAAGGTGGTAAAAATAAAGTACTGTAAAATCCATTTAAAAATATTGTCCACGCGCGGTACAATTATTGGTCAAGCGATTTATTTTTCCGTAGCCCAGGACAATAATGCATACGACCTGTCAGGTGACAGCGTCTCATTTATTGAAAAGAACTCCAATATGTTTCAGCTTCCACGCAACAAAAAAAAGAAAGAAACCGCATTACAGAATAGTAACGCCAGCCCTTCATTAAAAGTACAACCGAAGTACGGACTGCTGAAGGCCGGTTCTTATTTGATGTGATTTTGCGGAGCCCGGTGAGCACAAAGTTATCCAAAAAATGTCCGAAAATCATCCAAATGAGTTCCAGGGACATTTCTGGAACTCATTTGAATGATTTTTGGACATTTTTGGAGAACTTGTCTGCATATCATCCAAAATTTTTGAACAAGTTTTGGAGAACTTGTCTGCCTCACATTGGCGCCAGAAACCGCGAACAAGTTCTCCAAACTTGTCCAAAAAAACCTGTCTGTCAGAGCTGTTGGAAGAAAAGGGCATAAATGAGATTGAGCATTGTGTAGTGAGCTGTAGCTGTCTGACTAAGGGGTTGGACTTCCATGCAAGAAGCCCCTGGATTCGAACCCCATTTAGGCCTGCATTCTTCAATGGGGATAGCATCCCTGTAGGAAACAATTAAGCTGAGTTGACCCAGGATAGGTAAGGAACTAGCTGCAGAGAAGACCTGGAAATAGGTAGGATAATTATGTTATATAACTAAGATATAACTAGAGTACATAATTAGAATATATAAGTAGAATATATCATTAGGATATATAAATAAGATATATAGGAGATATGCTCAGTACAAACTGTTCATGAATGGAGTAAACTGTGAAGGGTAAAGAAAGAAATCAAATCTGTTGTCCTTTCTAGTTGTTATCGAAAGGCATTGTGCATGCTTTTTTATTTAAAAAATAAACGCGTTATTTTGAACATCCAGTACAATATACAGTACCCACATTTAGATTGACGACGAAAACGGCAAATCGGTTGCGCTTCGCGATGTCTGTACCATTTAAAAACTCAAGTGAATTTATACTATTATCTCGTGTTTTCAAACAAACTATGTTCGAGATCCTCTTTGTGCTTTTCCCAGGAATCAAAACATGATCTACCAATTTTTGACTGAAAAGAGTGTAGGGTTGACTTTGCAAGGCTGCTCATTGCAAAAAGTCAAATTAAAACTTTCCTTGCTTATATTTGAAAAATATATTGAGAAATACGCGCAATCTTGACAATTATTGAGTCATAAAAAAGTTATGTCACGGAGGGCGTTTGAACAACAAAAGCCTACAGGAACAAGGGCGAATTTTTGGGAAAGGTACCTTTTCAATAAGCATTTGTTGTCCTTTCTATTACAGGACTGAGTTGAGAATAAAAGAACCAAGTTCTTATTCTGGATTAATATTCTTTATACAATATTCTCATCCACATACAAACATTCAGTACAACAATACAAATGCACAAACACACAAGTCCAGCTTGCCTTTACTTTGAAATAAGGTTTGAGCTTTGACAGAGTTTTGACTATGGAGTTTACTGTATGAAGCTTGGATGAGATCTCTCTTGAGATTTCACCAAGCAGGGGTATTTAAACCTAGCCAGCCTAGATGGGGGAAACAAAGGAAACAATCATTGCGACCCTAATAGCGGAAATCCCAATCCGTGAAATGAACAGAGTGGAAATTGCTCTGAGTGAAATATAATTGCGCTGGTTACACATCAGTG